ATTTTATTTAATAACTTGTATACTGAGACACGTTTCTTGATAAGAGGTATTTTATTTACATATTATTCAATTTTCTGTTTTATAAAGTTCTGATTTTTATTAAAGTGAAAACAAGAGTGTTATTTATTACAGTTCATAATTGTATTTGTGATAAATGATAGTCTGTATTTCATTATTTCCAGATGAACCTGCTGCTGAAAATTATATTCTGAAAAAAGACTGCAGCGTGGGGCGTGTTATCTCCAAATTTGACCTGGGAGAGATCCTGGTTAAGTGTTTGATGATGGATGACTATATAGGTCATACTGTGGGAATGGGGTACCCTCAAGCTTAATGTAGTTTTACACAAATCAAAATTCATATTAGGTATTCTTGTATTCTACAATTGGTAAAGAAGCAATTGCAATTTTAAATTTTAGTTAAAATAAAAGCAAATATTATAACTGTACTTACATTTATACACTCAGTGTGAAAGCCTGGTAACTTACATGTAAAGAAATAGATACACTCACTCGGTGTCAGAGCTGGGTAACATTCATCTAAGGAGGTAGATACACCCTGACTCGGTGTCAGAGCTGGGTAACATTCATCTAAGGAGGTAGATACACCCTGACTCGGTGTCAGAGCTGGGTAACATTCATCTAAGGAGGTAGATACACCCTGACTCGGTGTCAGAGCTGGGTAACATTCATCTAAGGAGGTAGATACACTCACTCGGTGTCAGAGCTGGGTAACATTAAGGTAAAGCAAAAGATTATCTTCTTCTATCAGTACAAATATGTATAAAGAGCTAAACAATACAATGAAAATCTTCTGTAACATTAATACATACATACACAAAACTATTAGTATAAAACTCTAAAAGACTACTTAAATTTAAAACAATATTTAACTATCAGTTCTGTTTTTAGTAGAATGACATCATTCATCACAGAAGTAAACATTGAATTATTCCAATACCTATGTATCTTAGCAACCAGTTCAAAATAAACCAATAAAATTATCACCTTTTCTCATTATTAAAGAAACAGCAGAGAAAAGTGTATGGAAGTAACAACAGGGAAGGAAAAAGCTTACTAGATACCACTGATGCTCTGTATATGTATGCTACCATTACAGGTTTTCAAAAAAGAGAGGAGCATCTTATTACTTACAGAAGTGGACAATACAAACTAGATTACTGGTTATGAAACAAACTAGAATACCAGATACAATATAAAATAGACTACTGGTTACAATACAAACTAGACTACTAAATACAATAGAAACAAGGTTACTGGTTAAGATAAAAACTGGTTTCAAAGTCAAATAGTATACTTGATACAGTACAAGCTCAACTACTGTATACTAAATACAAACTAAATTACTGGTTACACCGCAAAATAGACTACTGGTTACAATACATCTAGACTACTGTTTAGAATACAGACTAGACTATTGGTTAAAATTCAGACTAGACTACTGGTTAGGATACAAACTAGACTACTGTTTGGAATACAGACTAGACTACTGGTTACAATACAGACTAGACTATTGGTTACAATACATCTAGACTACTGTTTAGAATACAGACTAGACCACTGGTTAGGATACAAACTAGACTACTGTTTGGAATACAGACAAGACTACTGGTTACAATACATCTAGACTATTGGTTAAAATTCAGACTAGACTACTGGTTAGGATACAGACTAGACTACTGTTTAGAATACAGACTAGACTATTGGTTAAAATTCAGACTAGACCACTGTTTGGAATACAGACAAGACTACTGGTTACAAACATCTAGACTACTGTTTAGAATACAGACTAGACTATTGGTTAAAATTCAGACTAGACTACTGGTTAGGATACAAACTAAACTACTGGTTACCATACAAACTAGACCACTGGTTAGGATACAAACTAGGCTACTGGATACAATGCAAGGTAGGCTGCTGATTACAATACAAGCTACGCTACTGGATAAAATTCAAATTAGGCTACTGGTTAGGATAGAAACTAGAGTACTGGTTAGGATACAAGCTAGGCTACTGGATACAATACAAACTAGACTACTGGTTACAATCCAAGGTAGGCAGCTGATTACAACACAAACTAGACTACTGGTTACAATCCAAGGTAGGCTGCTGATTACAACACAAACTAGGCTTCTGGTTACAATACAAGCTAGGCTACTGGATACAATACAAGCTAGGCTACTGGATACAATACAAG